CTAATTGGTCCATTAATGTTTTTCTACTCTAGGCAGATCTGTTTTCTGGGATTTTTGTTCATCGCGAGAAATTAATTACTTCAACGCGCGGAGACAAGATGTATAAAATGTATTGGTCGAGAGATAGACATTCTCTCTTTAAATTAATTTATTATTAATAATTGGCTGTGTACCACGTAATACATATTATTCGCTGCATTTTTATTACTAACGTATAAACCCGTTATATCATACGTTCGAATTATTTTTTACGTACGGTGTAAAAAATAATCCCTACTCATACACGATTTATCGCTTATCACACGCTTGGTGCACACAGCCCAAGATTTCGTATCTCGTAAGAGTATACACGTCAAGAGAGTCATCGTCGAGAGACTCGCTTTGGATCGCGCAACAATGGTACCGGGTCGAGCGATATCGCGAGCGAGTGTATGCGTGTCGTGCGTGTGTACGTGCGTGTTAATCTTAACAAATCGCACATGTCGTTTCCTTATGCGCGGGTTACGCAACCGGTCGTTTGTGTGTACGTGCCAGCAGGCCGATATGAATAAGGCATAACGAACCTCTGACATTAAGGGGACCGCGACGATCGACGAAGAGAGACAACAACGACAGCGACGACAACGTTGACGACGACGACATCGACGACGACGACGGTGGCAATGTAACCGACATCCTTACAGGACGGCGAGACCGAAACGACAAGGTATGACGAGATCTATCTAATCATGGATCCTTTGCCGACCCGCCGGCTGACCGATTACAGCCCCGAGGCGCGTCGCGTTTGACTGACGGGAATTAAATTGTCCCCCGGGGAGGAGAAAACGTTTTATACTTTATCGCTCGCTCCACGAAACGTAGGTATTTCTCGGCCGACGAGCCGCCCGCGCTGGCTGTTAGTGCTCTGGCGCGCAGATTGCGGCGTTTCACATGAGGAGCACGTGGTGTCACCTCATGCATTTCAACTTCACGGTCGATTCGATTTAAATACAATCATCGCGTCTCGTCGCGGCGAAAAAAAAAAGACCGCTGATTCAAAGATTGCGGGAGATGAATTCAGAATGTCTTTATTATCGAATGCGTGTTACTTTTAGTGTTTTTATCTTCACGCTGGCGCGAACGAGAATGAATATTCCATTCTCTTGATTCGCTCATTTACATGATTCATTCGCGCCTTCCGCGACATTCGGAGTCTGCGAATCGAGGCCTGCAGCTTCCGGTAATATTTACATACATGTCGCGGCGCGAGACACGTGGCTGTTGCGTTACGATGCGTGATGGCGAATGACAGTTACTGCCCGAGCTGCGTTATCTACACGCGCAAACGATTATCGCACTCACTTCTACGTGAAGACTTCCGAGCTATTCCGACACGCGACAACGTAAACACATTTGCAACGGCGAGATCGGTCGAGAGCTTTTTCGCATCGGAAAACCCAGTCGTTAAGTCGCAAGATCGATCGTAAACAAGACGGTGTATAATCAAGGTCACCTGCAGGTCCCCACGTGACAGGAACATTATTGGATTGAGAAAAGAGGAGAGGAAATGTCGGAGTAAAGAAGAGAAAGACAAAGCTTAGGGAGAAAAAAAGATACAAGATTTAGGAAAAGAAAGAGAAAAACGAAAAAAAAAAGAATTTATCTGTTTTATGAATTAGTTTAATCTATTCTTTTTGTTTATCGGCAACTAAAGAAAGTAATTATTAACGAAAGTAATTTCGAAAGACGAAAAAATCAATCTTAAATCTAACCAACATTATTGTAAGATATGTTCATCTTTTAGTTTATCTTGTTTAAAATATATATTGTATATATATCACTACGTGGATACCATGGGCTTTTTAAGGCACAGTCAATTTTTCGTATTTCACAATTTTCTCCTGATGTGTCAACACTTAAAAAAAATTGCAACAGTTCCGGCCTTATATAAGTATAGAAATCACTTTTTGAAACCTTAAAGATGATATATGAATTTTTATAGATTTTTTGTAACACAGAAACGCTTTCAAAAACCCTTTAGACTTAAGTATCTATATAGGTGTCCCGGGTGAGTGCTCCAAAAACACGGTGTCCGCACAGTGATACATATATATGTATATACATATAGTTGATTGCGTCATGTAATTAAAATTATATTAAAATTCGCAAAAGAGAGAGCGGAATAATTGAGACGCATGTTGAAACTGAAGAAGAGGAGCTCTCCAAGTTCTCAGGGGTTTTCAAGAACTTAAACATGTATTACGCAAGTGCCGTGCCGTGACGTGGCGCAAAGAAATAGGCAACGCGGAAATGTCAGCGTTACCTCGTCGCGATCGAACGCACTTCCGGTGCGCTCTTCGTCCTTCAGTTCGCGCACCGGAAGTCTCAAGTGGCGTCGCGGTTGCAATTTTTTGCGACCCGTCTCTTCCGTTGCGATTTGCGAAGGCGATCAGTTCTCTTTTCTTCCGTCGCCAAGGAAAAAAAAAAGCTATTCGCAAAGGAGAAACACGCGAACGGAACCGCAGAATCCGGTGTTTTCTTCGTACCTTCCTTGCGAGGGGAAAAATATATGTCTCGCGCAATTATCGCTCTTTTCGTCTCTCGCATTCCGATACGCTAAAATCGTCTCGGTCAAAGCTGTAAAATGCGCTGGTAATTTGAAATGTTATCCCCTAAGGTGATCGATTTCAAGTCGATGGCCATTGAAAGATATTTTCATATCTGTGGATCTTTCGTCTTGTAATTCGGAGTTAAGTAATATAAATCAATGGCAGAATGAGCAACGCAGAAGCCAACATCACGAGGCAGATGCGAAGGCGATCACTCAAATCCCATCCCTCGTCGCCGCTTCTCAAGTAGCCGCTTTAATTAGCCGAGTCGCAAAAAAATCGCCGACCGAAAGGAGCACCTGAGTATGAGGCCGCTTGCTTACTCGCGGTATTTAAAGGAGAGAAGGGAGGGGGGAGACCGAAGAGACGACCAGGATTTCCTGGTGCGAGACAACGGCACATCGACCTTCGCATGCCGAGGTTCCTGCCTTCTTCCCTCGGGGCAATCCTCTCTGTCTCTCTTTCTTCTTTCTCTCTCTCTCTTCTCGAGTCAGCATCGCGCCGCAATTGTGCCGTCGAGAGCTTCCTCCGATCATTTTTCGAAGTGTCACAAAGGAGATTTTTTTTTTACTGAAAATATTCCGGAACCCGTCGATCACCGAATCTCGAGTAAAAAAGGAGCCGAATAATGACAGAGACTGGCTTGCTTTTTCAAGAGTTTTAAAATTAACTTTTATATACTTGTATTTTTATTTTTATTTACGGCAATAATCAATATAATAAATGCAGCGATTAAAAAAAAAGTAGTAATTAGGGAAGAATAAATTAAAGTGAAAGTGTTTTGTAACTATATAAACATTTCTGTTTTCTAACAATAAGCACGAAATTGGAGTTGCTTATTGTTCCGAAATATTCGAACAGCGATAACGTTAAATATGTAAAGCGACATAAACAGTATCACATTACAATAGTTGTATAATTTTACCTCGATAATATCGAACGCGCGGTGACGTCAATAGGCTTTTTCCTATCGCAAGTCCGCTCGACGAGACGTATTAAATCAGATCGTAACCATGATTTTTTCGCGTTACAATGTCACGAGTCAAAGTATAAGAAAGCTATAGACATGCCGCGCGACATTAGGCGCAATCACGCACCGATACGTTAATAATTATATCTAACCGAGCACGCAGATTATAAACATATGATTATCACGTAAATAGTGTCATTACCGAGATGAGGAAGCCACCTCGCTTTATACTACTCTTTTACAATTAGTTCCTTTTTGTTTACATTCTAACGTAACTTTATCGCGAGGTCTTCCGCATAACCGACGATATTCTGGACCACAAGGTGTGCAATTGTATAACTGATATAACATATAAACCTTACGAAGTGACTCAGTCTGAATTTTAATGACGTATCCTCTGAAGTCGAAGACTGTAGCTACGAAACACTTCTAGTTCCGGTATATCGTAAGCGACGGAAATTAAAGGACCGAGGTTCTGGAAGCAATTAAACGGTGTGTAAAGAGATTTCGAATGAATGGTGTAAGCCCGAAACTGAGAATCTAGACGTTGGCCGTGCGCTATAAGGAGTTTCGCTTAGCTGCTCTCTGGTCCCCGCGAGCCGACGTCGAGAACGGAAATAGCTTCGTCGACGTCGATGGAAATACGTTATGTAAATCCACGTTTCCTGCCGGCTTTCATTCTTATGCCCCCACATTCTATGCTAATAGTCGATGAACGTCTGCGAACCGGTCGCCGATCAGGAAATGGAGAACGACGACGTATCGAAACGCCGCCGTCGCGACGCTTCTCTTCCTCTCCTCTCTTCCCCTATTCTCGTCTTCTTCTCTCCTCTCCCCGTCTTCTCTTCGCCTCTTCTCTTCTCATCTTCTCTCTTCTTAAATCATCTTGCTTGCTCCACGTCCACGGTGTAAGAAGTCGACGTGTAACTGTAATCTGGCGCTATTATCTTCCGCCGTTCTACATCGGAGAGCCGATCGTTAGATGTGGTAAAGCGCTATATATCAGGGATCGATTTTCGACGATATAGATACGGAAGATTGCACTTTACGTCACACAGTGTCGCGTCTCCATAGTCGCAAATAAATATATATAGATCACTTTCGTGCGCCTGTAGCGTCGAAATGACGCCAACGGTATATCGTTTCGTGTTACGTGCTCGCTAAGCAGATCGAGCGATAATGTTGTATCTGATTGCAAGATTTAATAAAGTCATAATTTCTAAGAAAAAAATGATACTGGAATGATATCAGAACATTCAACTAGTTATTAAATCACAAAGATGTATTTATTACGTATAGATGTAAATTAAATATTTACAAGACTACGCGAGTCAACTTACATTTCTGGTATATCGACCTACCTCATTACGAGATTTGCATGAATCACAAGATTCTAAAAAATCAGATCTGTTAATAAACTTGATTTATTTCTTCTGTTGCAGAAGTCATCAGTAAATCTGAGGGCGTGTTATGAAATTGCTGCCACCGATTCAGATATCGCAGCTACCGGCGGTTTCCGCTGCGGGCGGAATGACCGGAATGGAGCCCCGGCTGCCCCCAGGTATATCCTTGCCTTTCAGTCCGGACTGGGTCTGGAGGGCCCAGTATGGGCCTTCGATGGGTTTCCCACCGACACACCCACAGCCCAATCCCGTCTTGGACTTTAAAACTCACCTACCAACGAGTTTGGGTAAATATTATAATATTAAGAATAATATATTATAACATTAAGTATAACATTATAAATTTCTTTACGTTGAGTTTGTAAAATAAAAGTGTTCGTGGACCGATTTCAGGTCTCATAGAATTTTTATGTGAGTAACGTTGATCGTGAGTAAAAACGAAGCTAAATAATATTTCTTTTATCGCACTTTAATTGCTCCGATTTTTTAGATTAATTCATATTATTCGTATCGATATTAATACGTTGTTATATTGAAGGTATTACTGAATTAATTAAGAACGCATAGACGATGTTAAACCGCATAGTGGTCACAAAGACCGCCGCGAATACAGCCAATGGCATCTTCTCTCCTTTCAGTGTCCGACCCTAGACTGTGGTCACGGGAGGACGTGGCAGCGTTCCTGCGGTGGGCTGAACGGGAATTCGACCTGCCGCCGTTCGACATGGACGTGTTCCAGATGAACGGCAAGGCCCTGTGCCTGCTGACCAAGGCCGATATGGGCGAGAGGTGTCCGAGCGCTGGCGACGTGCTGCACAATGTGCTGACCATGCTGGTGCGCGACTATAGTCAGCTACAGAGATGCCTGCCGAGCAGTCCGGTGACACCTACCAGACCGTCCACGTATCCGCTGAGTCCACATTCGCATCCGCCTACGCCGACGTGGACGGAGACGCAGCCATACGCCTCGAATCTCGCCTCGCTGATGTCGGCCAATTCGGTGACGCTGTCGCCGGCGCCGTCCGTGGACAGTCAGTCGGGCTCACCTAGCCACGCGACTGACGCGAATCAGACGCAGGTCTACAAGAGCGATTCGGACGAGGACAATACTCATCAGGTATCGAGTGGCAACAGCAGCCCACCGGCCACGCCAACCGCCTTGACGGCACAGAGGCTCAGCGAAGTGAGCGTCAAGGACCAACCGAGCCCGACGTTACCGCACCAATTGATGCCGCTGACGCCCGGTGCCTACCGATCGACCGCCGCCAGCGCGACCAGAGAGTTCTTCCCCAGCGATTCGTCAGAGCCCAACACTAGTTAGTATCTGCGATTAACCCGCGATTTTTAGTCGTAGTCGACGAAACGCAACTGTTTTTAGATAACGCAAATGCGTCATAAAGATAGCTAAGAAATGCCAATTTTCCATTCTTATATTTTTTTGGATTGTTAATTAATATTAGACGACACTTTATTAAAGACAGAATCTCGTTATACCGTTGCTTTAATCCTCCCATGGTTGTTATTCACATTGTAGCACAATTTCCGCCGTTCTGTTTAGACGGAAGACTGCTCTGGGATTTCCTTCAGCAATTGCTGAACGACCCCGCGCAACGGTATCAGCATTACATCTCGTGGAAGAGTCGGGAAACTGGCGTCTTTAAGATCGTCGATCCGCCTGGTCTAGCGCGACTCTGGGGCATCCAGAAGAATCATCTCTCTATGAATTACGACAAAATGAGCAGAGCTTTACGTTATTACTACCGCGTGAACATACTTAGAAAAGTCCAGGGCGAACGACATTGCTACCAGTGAGTATTATTGCAATAAATAATTAGTCCGTGATTACTGTACAAAAAAAATGTGATAGAGATATAATACGACGAGTAAATTTGTTAATTTTGAAATAATTTCAATAAAATATTAATACAACGATAACTTTCGTATTTAGAATATGTAAAAGTTATATACGGGCAAAAAGAATTCAATGAGTCATATTTGCAGATTTCTGCGTAATTCGATCGAGTTGAAGAACATCAAGAACATATCATCGCTGCGCAATCAGATGCGAATAAAGTCGGAACCGGAGGAGGAGAGGGGTCTCGGAAGTCCCGAGGTGGAACCGGAAGCGGACATGCCGACGGACCTCTCGATGTCCAGCATGAACCAGCCGTCGAGCGAACAGCAGCAGCAGCCCCTGTCGTTGCACGACCCACCTGCCAAGTACAGAAGTCACGCGTACAATCTCGTTAAGACCAATCAGGAGCCGGAAGAGAGGAAGTGACGCGGGACCTAGCGATGGTAGGAACGCAATGATCGTGCGTAATCATTAACCGCACCACGGCGGCCTACGAGGCCGGCGGCGAAATGACGTAAGAAGGGTACCACATCGGCAACCGATCGACGAACTGCGGAGTGAAATCGGAGATCGCTCGCAAGCGATCATCGACTCCGTCCGGTTTGTTCATAAGAACGTGGCTGGCATCGTCTGCATGAAGATACGTGAAGATCTTCAAGATGGAAAAAGGCGGAATCCGAAAAACATAATTCATCGATGAAGCTCGGAAAGATGCGATAATGAAGATCAGATCTAATCTCGGAAGTGGTAGTTGATGTAGAGAAAAGCATGCCATGATGGCTGGAGATTTTGCCGAATGCAATCGTTAATAAATCGTAGAACGCTCGAAATATAAATCGAAAGGACGAAACGTTATGAAAGCTACGATCTTGTATGCTAACATGTTATGAGACTTTCTGCGAATAATCGTCAAAATGAAAGAAGACAAACGAGCATTCACGTTTATTCAACTCACAGAGGCACATTAATTGATGCTTTAGGGATGAGGGATTCTTTAAAGATCCAAGAAATTAAATTTTATGCCCTTTGTGCCCAATTCTATGTATTTGTCGGGGACTCAAAGTTGCAATCACGCAGAATCCTATTTTCGTCGTTATATGTAAGAGTGCGATAAGAAGCTCAAGAAGAGAATATCCCCCTCATGGTGTAAATCAGATAATGACTCGGTCCCTTCCTTCCTTTTCGCCCTCACACAGATTCTACTGACAATGAGTACTGATAATGACAGATGCTTCAATGTGAAGCTGAATCTTCGCGGATATTCCGCCCTATCCCTTTCTCCACTTCACTCCCTCGTAACGGAACAAACCATCCGTACCGGACAATTTCCCTTCCATTTTTACAACGACGAGGTGTGTATGAAACGTACGGTCTTGGGTGCACTTAAAGAACCATACACACGACGATTCAATGTACAAAGAATGCCAGAAGAATAACTGTTACCAGGTCTTTCCTTTCTTACGCGTTTCTCTTTCTCTTTTTTTTTTCTTAATCTTAAGTATATATTCTGTGATGTACGACTTTTTTTCCCTTGCCGAAAGGTAGTCCATGAATAAGGTCGATCCCAAAGAGAGACTCTACTTGATTTGAGACATTCAATGTAAATGCATCACAGAAAAATTACGTTATTAATATTTCCATAGTTTCTGATGTACAAAGAGCTTGACAAAATCTTTTCACGACAGTTCAATAATTATGTATATCTATGTAGAATCAGATTTTCGAAGAAAGATTTAGTTGGATTTTCTCAGGCTCTTACTGTATATGCGCTGAAACGGTTCTCCGTTTACTTTCACGTATTTGTGCCAAGAACATTTGCCGTTTAATAAGAGAACGTTTTATGTATTTAGTCGACTGTTCCAAAAAAACTCGATATATCACGATTTTGGAACCAATATTACATCCCTTGTGCTCGATGTACGTGTTATATCAAGGATTACGCGCCACAATCGAGTGTCGTATAATCGATTATACGTTATACGTTGTAGGAACTGTATATAAGCGGAATTAATGAACTGAATTAATAAATTGTAAATGCGAATGAAAGCTAAGACGAATATTAGAGGAGTAGTGCAAGAATATTATGGAAATTCGGGGCCAGAGTTAGAATATATAAATTTATCTATAGAAAGAATATATATACATATATTTTACTATCAAAATTTATATTCGAAATTTCTATATTTGTTGCCTGTGTGATTGTGGCTTACATTCCACGACTCTTTATCCGAGGTTTGTCAACCAGGGGATAAACCGCGAAAGTCCGCGAAAGAGGACTGTAGAAAAGAACATGATAAAACAAGACGCATATACAATTAGGAAACAGATTTTAAGAAGATTGCTAATTGTATTTTTGCACTTGAAATTATAAAATCGATATATAAAACCGAAGATGTAAAAGCTTGAGAGATATAAAATTGAGAAAATATGAGAGAACTCTAAAGTATGAGTGCGAGCGAAAGGAAGACAGAATGAATGAGGCAGGTATGATATATAAATATTGAGAAATATATATCTGGCTTCTTGTATACTGTGATCTCTATACTATATAATGCAGAACGAGTTACATAGTTGAATAGGAATTATTATCTAAATAAAATGCGTATGCATGTTACACACACTAGATAAAACGTCTGTCTAAAAATTGCGTGATGTTATCGAGATAAGATATATATATCTATAAAGATACACACATGTATACACATATATACATATAAAGAACATATGTGTGTGTACGTCTATATATTAAAGATATATATATCATTATAGATATATGTATGTACATCTTTTCTCCTTACAATCGTGTAAATAATTTTCACATGGACAAATGTCAGAGGAACGGATATATATATAGATACACGGTCTGTGTCTCGTTGAGCGTTTACTTGGCGCGAGACACTGCCGTGTCTCTCAACAAATGAATAAATATACACATATAAATATATTTATATAAAAATATATGTATATAATATATATAAATATATTTATATGTGCATGTATATGTATGTAACAGCATATATGAAGACATAATAATAGTGCGAAACAATGCATATACGTCTAAGATTGAAGAAATTTATATATATCGTTTCGCGTGTATAAAACAATGTAAAATTCTAGAAATTAGAACTGTTTTATTATATAAGTTGTTATATGAAGAGTACATGAAATAATGAATGTTGTAAATATAGACTTATTTAGTTATTAAGAAGGTACGTATACTATTCTTTTAATTCATCCAAAATACAATTTGCGAAAAATAAATTTTTTTCAGACACTAATCATCAATATATCTAACATGCATTTGGACACCAACAGTTTTACAGTTTTTAATGAATCGAATTGCAGCAAGGATTACATGAACAATATTAAGTTCATGAATATATTTGACGTTTCAAATATAAACAAAGATATATTTTATGCAAATACAAGTCGTTCTAATTATCCACATAGATTGCAGAATAAAAGGAAATAAAATGTCTATTTCTGCATTAATTTTTATTGAAAAAAAAAAAGATAGAAAATATATGTATTGTTTACACATGAAAACTTCTTATTTTAAAAATATTACATCGTCTGCTATGATAGATGTACTGGAGGATAGGTTTCCATCCCCATCTTTGAATTCACTGTAACTTATTCTACCATTTATCATCGCTCGCTGACCTTTTTTCAGATATTTATATACAGTGTCTCTTAAACTAGGCTTAAAAACACATATCTTGTGCCAGTCTGTTCTTTGCATAAATTCACCTGGAAATAAATAAATATACTTCAATATATCACCTGGGAATAAATAAATATACTTTAATATAATTATTCTGTTCAGGCTCGATCTCGACGAGATCACCTGAGATGCCGGGTCGCTCAGACTTGAGCGCGGAGCGAGTGTGACGCGGAGGAATTCACGCTAGGATCGGTGTGGGAAAAAAAGGCAGCGAAAATGTTGGAGAACACCGTTCAATTCGCAATAGACAAGCACAGTGTGGAGTGAGCGATGACGAATGACGAGTCTCTGTCCGCTAAAAATGTTCTGAGCACTTCCGCGATTCGTTGATTTCGAACGCGATAAGCGGAACTTTTTCAATAAACACAATAAACTTTGGGTGCCCAACAGAAGACGATCGTCTACTTTACGCTCCTCCACGATTGCACTTAGATTTACTTAGATTGAGGGTGCCGAGCGAGCGCGTAACGAGGCGAGCGAGATATGGAAGAGATCGTTTGTATTCTAGCTCTCGTTACGTTCGACCGACTGTCTGAAGGAAGGTACGATCACGTGTCTTTCAGGTGATATTTATTTTGCTCGCGTCGCTATTCGCTCGTTCGGTGAAAATGCACGCAGCAGGCGCATGATCTAGCGAGTCTTTCCGTTTAAACTTCAAACATTTCCTTTGAACGTTACATTATTGCGCGTTTAAAACTAGAGTTAGGTAGATTGTATGTAACCTGTTTCATATTTATAATTCGTATGTGTCGCAAGAGAGAATATCACAACCGGGTGTTCCATGCTTCCACGTTTTTGAGGATCCGCTCCAACCCTTCCAAGCAACATTACATTGTTTACACCTGCAAAAAGAAAAAAAATTGAAAAATGATACCATTAAAGAACTATAATCTGTATACAACTCGAAATATGAATTGTTTAATTATGAATATCTACTCTTATGGAGTAATTCCCCGATGACATTGTGTACTTACACTTTTCTATGTTTGTAGTCTCGTTCACTTCGTCCGACAAATATCGCACATTGTTTAAACGGGCGGCTCGACGTGCTTGTGAAATAACCTAAAAAAAAATAATGCACTACGTAATTCATGGGCTTCATTCTGAAATAATTTCGTGTCTTACTTCTGTAAAATAACGGCTATATACTTACCGTGCGAAACATTATGACAATTTCACTATTATTTGCTTCTCATCAGAAATTACAAGTTACAAACAAACGGATAATAAAGCGGTAAGGCCACAGTATGGTAAAGCCGGTAACCAGGAACCAGGTATAATGCCGGGTAAGGACAAGGACGAACTAAACTATATACCGGGTGTGTTTAGGTGTGTTCAGTTAGAAATACGAATGTCAATGATTGGCTATCGCATGAAGCCAATGGAAAGGACTTTAGGAACTTTTAAAATTGATGAGTTTTGGAACGCACCGATAAAATTGTCGCACAAATCCGATAATTATTTCTTCCGTTTCTTCATTGAAAATTATTTAATTTTAACTATACATAATCACTGTCTTATTTCGTATAAAAAAAATACACCGATATACTTCATCATCCATATAAATTGATTTGATTTCTTCATAGCCGAAGAAATGTTACACAGATTTTGGAACAAAATTTATATACATTACAAAACTATTTTTGCAATATGTTTATCTATGTTATTTATTACATTCTTTATTTACCGCATGATTTTTATATTTCTGTTCAAGGTAACAGAGAAAAAATGATATCGGATAGTATATTTAACAAGTTTATTTAGTATTTGAGTTTAATATCCATCTAATACATCTGCTGAATTTTTCAGCAAGTACATTGGATGAAAATATAAAATTATAGAAATTCTTGACCATTTTTAGAGAAATGCACAAGTGCGCGATAAAAAGTACATTTTCTTTTTTAATCATGTGAAATTAAGCACAAACTCAGCATTTATTTTTATTCCAATAACATTTCCAGAAACTCAGAAATACAAATAACGTTTTAAATTAGAAAGTTTGCAATTACGTCAATTCGTGCATTATTACTCGTCTTCGTCGCGAACGCCTCCCGCTGGAACTTTCGGACCGCCCGCCCGTTTTGCCATAATAATTTGATCCACCTTGAGAACTGTGCACGCCGCACCGACCGCGTACCTGATCGCCCATTGCTTCGTCAGATATAAATCAAAGATCCCTGCCTCGATGGTATCAATCAAAGCTGCGCTTTCAGCCTGTAATATATAATTCATATTATATAATTAATATTATCCTCCAAAAAATATATGACTCAGGTTTTTATCCATATAGGCTAGGTTCTTGACGCTTTCAGCACTGTAAGCATCATTCTATCTTCATTGCACATCGAATATCAAGCAAAGATAGAACGATGCTTTCAGCGCTGAAAATGTCAAAACGAACGTAGCTCAAGATGACATAGTTTTAAAAAAGAGAGTGACGAATACTCATATTCGAGACAAACACGTCGAAGAGATATTGAATATATTAAAACTAAGGAAATAGACGTACATCGATGTCAACACCGTAATTCTTCTTTCCCTCCTTGTGCGCTGCGTACAGCTTCGATACAAGTTCGGAAGCGCGGAAACCGCTGCTCTCGGCCAGCGTTTTCGGGAATATCTCCAGAGCAATGGCAAATTTGCGCGCGGCATACTGCTCAAGACCGGGTAGCGTGTCTGCGTACGCCGCCAGCTGGGCGGCAAGCTCGATCTCCGTGGCGCCCGCACCCGGGACAAATCTGCCGTCTCTCGTAGTACCCTTGAACGTGTTGACACCATCGTCAATCGCGCGCTCGATGTCATCCATATAATTCTCGGTCGAACCACGCACAAGCACGGTACTGACGCGGCTCTCCTTTCCTTCCAGTTTAAACACCACCAGTATGGTGTCTCCCAATTCGTCTATGTATACCGTGTCGGCATATCCCAGCTCTTCTTTTGACGGAGGCACCTTTAATAGAAACCGTCGATTACTGTAATAGTTCATTTCCAACGCATAATCATGTATAAGTAACATAAAGATATACAAAACGCTGAAAACAAATTAAGACGAATAAATTTACCAGCTTAGAGAGGGCAGTGGCACCGACGGTCTTGCAAAGTCGTCTAACGTCGAATTTGCTCGGGATACGAACGGCCATCAGATTATACTTGTTCATATAGTGCAGGGCCATACTGCCGAATTTTCCACCAGACACCACCACCTCGGCGCCGCTATCGGCAATTGCCTTGATTTGATTTTCCAAAAGCGATTCCTCGCCGCGCGAAAATTTCAAGAGCTCGTCGGCCGTTTTGATCAGCACAGTGCCTTTGGTCTCGGTCTGAATAATGTCCACGGCGCAGGTGTAAACCGCAATCTTCGCGCTGGTCTTCTTCGTGACTTCTCCTTCCACGTGACGCTTAAATACCATGCCTTGCATCACTTGGGAGTTGCTCAAACCACCCCCGAGTATCTTGCAAACTCGCACATTATCCACATTGAACGTCGTCTTCTCCGGCAAAATGGAGATGCAAGCCTTGGTGACGAGGGAAGCAAGGATATCCTCGTTTCCATATTGTTTGCTCATGATAGTGCTCCTAATTCCCTTCTTCACTTGTTCCTCGTTTCGTACATCTTTCACTTCGTGAACAATCAAGGTCGGTAAGATTTCAAGTGCCTTGTTCAAGACAGCCTCGTAACCCTCAATAATCTCCGAAGTTGTAATGCCCTGTAATTAAAAAGTCAAGGTATGAAATATCTCTATTAATTCCACATACAAGTCGTTCTCAAAATTTTTTTATACTTCAAATATAAGACAAAAAAATGCCTTTATTAATACATTAATACAACTAAACGTTATAAATCAATGTACCAGGCGAAGCAGTCCTTCCGCGGCATGAAGCAGTTCTCCAGCAAAGATAATAACAAAATTTGTCCCGTCTCCTACTTCAGCTTCCTGCATTTTTGATGCCAAGACTAATAATTTGGCAGCTGGATGTTCCACTTCTAACTCGTTAACAATCGTCACTGCATCATTAGTTACGAACAACTTCTCAATGTGATTGATGACCATCTTGTTCATGCCGTTAGGGCCATATGCACTCCTTACAGTATCCGCGAATTGTTTGCAGGCTGTAATGTTCCTGTAGACCGCTTCTTCGAGGCCCGAAAAATACTGAAAATGCAAAGTAACAAACATATTGAAATCTCGAGCGGCCAAATCTGGTTCAACGCAAAAAGTCAAATTTTCCATCTCGACATTTGCTGTACTATACGTAAGTTTGTAAAAAATCTTGACGCGTCACACAAATTATCTATACACGAACAATCTATTCTTAATATTCAAATTTAATTTTCTGAATCACGGAACATTCCAGACAGTGCAAAATTTTTCGTTTTATTACTTGCCATGCACATAAAACTTAAAAAAAAATTACAAAAACTTTGACAACATACACACACGCACCGCGTGCACGCGTGCACACGAATAAAAATGGCTTATTTTTTAATATTTTATTCAAGTTTGATTTTCAGTTAGAACAAGGCATGACATTTCAGGCATCATTTAGGGAAGGCCGCTCCTTGCTCGCATTGATGATTCCCGGGTACGTCGAATTTCGATTTAAAATATCCATAAAAGGTAAGAACGCGGGACGATCCCTTCTTCTCATGTACCGGGATCGAGCGTCGTCAAATGGAACCGCGTAGCGGGGTTCGTCGCGTGCACGCGGTAAATATTCGAGAAACAGAATGGTGTCACTTACGCGGGCTCCATCCTTGAGCATTTGCGCCACGCCGGGCGCCTTCGGTATGTGCATTGCCATTTTCGTCGAAGATTCCGAAAAATCGTCTATTCACGTGTGACAGTCTTCTCACTTAGCTCCAAACGGGGTGGACCAGGAACAGGAGTCCAGGACCAGTGGGACCAGGTTAAACTGTACTCTCATGTTAGTCGTGTTACTTATGAACGAAGGCATTGAAAGGCAGCGCCTCCAAAAGAAGCTAGAATCAATTAAATCAATATGGCGTTCCCTACCGCTGAATTTAAAACATTTATCTTGCTCACGGTTATATGTATACAACCGTGATATTGTTAAATAATTTTTATTTATGAAGATTTATATTTATATTTTACACTTAACGCAAAATGAACTAATCCAGTTATCTAAATGCATTTTGTGCGCGATAGCCTTTATGAATACCAACCAATGAGTGGTTGACTGACATTGTGGCTCAGGCATTTCATACACTTTTTGCTTGAGAACACCGTATTAAAAAGATTGGTGTTAAAATCACTTTGAACAAGATATTTATTACTCGAATTTTAACTACTGTAAAGCGGTAAACACAATAATTATTTTAATTTTGATTACGGTAAATTTTGATTACTGTAAAGCAGTAAAGAGGATAAACTTACATTATTTTGAAATTATTTATTTCTAATATAGTTTTGTAACTTTAGAAGTCAATATCTCTTAATTGAATGGAAAGTTTGCAAGCATATACTTCCAGAGGAAAATTTTTCTTGTATTTTAAGGGTCAACAGGAGTAAAGGCCATTGCACGTAACAAAGTTTTAGTCATAATCGTAAGGTTGTAAGAAAATAGACCATTCACAGTCGATTATTCTGCTCGCGCTTGAAGAATAATCAAGTGTGATTGGTCTATTTTCTTACGGCCTTACGATTAAAACTAAAACTTTGTTACGTTATTAACACAACCTCTGTCGGGTTGCTTAGCTGCGAGTCCGTATTTTATTTATTATAAATTTTTTAAAAGCCAAAATGGAAAACCGGCTCTGTACCGGCTTGCGGCTGATCTTACTGATTAAAACGAGCATAAATTTAATGAGATTCGTTAATTAATTTGGCTAAAATTTGGGAAAAACCTTTTCTAAGCAGCTTTTCAGGCTTGCTTAGAGCTGGCAAAGCTGCTTAGGAACGGCTTTTGGTAAAATCGTTATATTTTGGTAAAATCAACACTATACTCCTTTCCTAGGGATACTCTGCCGACATAAGGATATTGACTACAACTCTCGGAATATAAAAATTGATAATGGGATGTCATATTCTTTCTCTGAAAAAAATACGAAAGATATGGAGAATATAATAATCCTTGCTTTTTTGCATATGTTAAAATGCCGCATTATAATATCATCCATATACAAATTACAAACATTATAATATCATACATATACAAATATAGTAATTAATACGATATAATTAATATGTCTTTCTCGCGGCGTAAACAAAAATAATCCTCACGCACTAGGATAAAAGGCGAGTCTGTAAAGGTCATTCTACAATACGTCGCAAACGATAGCAACTGCTAGTTGAAAAGTATTTCCATGTTGCGCTTGTCAAAAGAGAGTTACTGAGTTGACAAACTTTTTTAACTTTTTTGTTGACAGTAACTGGCAATCGGCAATCAGAAATAACACTTTTCAACTAGCAGTTGCCATCGTTTGTATTGTAGAACCGGCCTAAGTTTACACGTCTACTATTAATCGGGTTTAATAACATTTGTATTATATAGTTATAAAATATATTCCAGCGTTTACCTACACATTTCCTTGCAACCGGCTTTATAAATCTACATCTTTTCGTCAACGGGTGTAGACTAAAGGCCCCCGCACGATGAAAAATATAAGTACGTAACAAGGAACAGATATTAGCGATTAGAAATACGAACAGGAATAAAGCTAGTGTAGCATTAATTTAAAAATAATTCTCTGTAAATTCTCCTTGCTCCTGGATTCGTGTAAACGAACATGTGCGTTTTAGGAAATTATAATATATAACTATACAGATGTTATATATTAAACCCGATTAATGGTAACGTGTAAACGTAATCTATGGTCCGTATTTTATGTTCAATACAAGCACATTTATTTGAATTTTACAGTCTGAGGTCTAGCTTACTGTTCGGATAATGTCCCCCGCACGACTTGTACAAAATGTATTTGCGCACTTGGCACGTGGTCCAAATTGGGCTTTTTCTCTTGAAGCTCCGTTTCTTCAGAATCCTTAAGGTACAATTGGAATGTTTTGATTGGTTAACTCGGATGACGCAATGCGTGACGCGCTCAGTGGAAACTCAGCCCAAGAGTGTGATTTTGGAACGCAGCCCAAACGAGGTGAAAATTAACAAATGAGGAAATTGACTAGAGTATCTACGATTTTATTTGTCGAAATCTAGTTAAATCTGATTACTTTTGTAATTTTCACCTCGTTTCAATTGACTTTGCGTCGCTAAAAGAAAAGCGCCCTATAGTTCACTGCTCGTGTGCGATTGGCCGCTTTCAGCAGACACAACTGTTGAGTTTTCTTATCAACACTCTGCGTTGATTGGTTGGTTTTAAAAGTAAGAGCCAATCACGTTTGACTGCTACTCAACGGCTTGGTCTGCTCTGCTGAACGCGCCTATTCATGACTCATGTTTACATTTAGCTGACCAATAAAAAAAATACCCCTGCAATAACCTGCATCCTGCATGCTAGCATTTGTCTCGCGTGCTCTATTATTTGTCACATGATTTATTATTTCTTTGCATTGATATCAATGTTCGATTTGTAATAATACCTGTCTTTTAAGATAAAAATTCCGAAGAGACTTTCTAGGTATTTGAATGATCGTTCCGTACACCGTTCCGTTCTTCACGAGTTCTCCTTGATCTTAACGATCATTAACCGGTCACTTGTATCGATGTTTTAGAATTTATGGGAAGGAACGATCGTTTATAAGGACGTGGTATCGAATCGAACGTACGTTGAAGCCACGGCAGGCACGATGACAAATACAGGAGGTAAAGTAGTCGCGAATCTACGACAAAAGTTCATATCGCCGAATGTGTTGCGATGGTTCCCCGGACACATGACGAAGGGTCTAAAGCAGATGCAACAGCGATTGAAAAATATCGATTGCATCATAGAGGTTCACGACGCGCGGGTACCGGTCTCCGGGCGTTACGCTGATTTTAGCAGGACTCTGACCGGCTTGAAACCACACATATTTGTACTGAGCAAAAGAGATTTGGCCGACACGAGACACAAGAGCAGTATAGTCTCTACGTTGAACAGGGAAGGGCTGTCCAACATAATCTTTGCAAATCTCAAAGATCAACGGTGCAAAGGCGTGAGGCGGATCCTGCCCTTGGCCAAGAAGTTGATGTTAAATTCGGAACGTTACAATAGAGTGGAGGAGGAGTCTTATTCCATGATGATCATCGGCGTGCCCAATGTTGGAAAGTCCTCTCTGATTAATCGTTTGAGAAACAATCACCTTAGCCTGGGCCAAGCTACTCCGGTTGGCGCGACGGCTGGTATCACGCGATCCGTATTGACCCGTGTAAAAATATCGGAAGACCCAGTAGTGTATCTGATCGATACTCCAGGTATTCTAGCGCCTACCATCAAAGACGTTCATGCTGGCTTCAAGCTGGCCTTGGTCGGATGTCTGCAGGATCATGTAGCGGGTTCGCAGCTGCTCGCGGATTACCTACTATTCTGGCTGAATAGGAACGGCCGATTTGAATATGTGGACATATTGGGTTTGAAAGAACCGAATGACGATGTGTTGCACGTGCTCACGTTCATTGCCGCAAAGTTGGGAAAAACCGTGAAGATAAAGAACTTCGACGGCCGATTAGCGGTCATGCCCGATTTAAAATCCGCGGCGGACCACTTTATTGCTTTATTTAGGAAAGGAGACTTGGGATCCTATTGCTTAGATATAGATTTACTCGAGATATCAGAAAACCGCGAAGTTAGCTTAGCCTAATGATAATTATATGTAAATATATTTGTATATATTTATTTATAGAAATGATTCTTAATCGAAAGAAAATATAGATCATAATTTTCTACGACATCTGATGACTTGAATAATCCTAAATATTTCGAAAAAACAACGATCTTACTTTTCCATTATATTTATTCCTTGTATAAAATCAAGTAACTTTTGATTATTATCAACATGTTGGATCTTACGTTAAATGCCTTGTAATATCTTTCAGAAAAAAAAATTTTTTCTTTAAATAAAATCTAAAAATTTATGGAAATGTAAGTTGTTAGCCGAGGAAGAGTATATTGCATCACTTTCCCCACCAGTCTTATGATCCTGCCACGTTCATCTTGCGGGAGTAGGTCATCCGAGCCACATATGTTAAATTCACTTTTGTCATGGAAGACATTTCTTCCGTCTTTCATTCGTTGTAATCTATATGCAAACCATACGTATCGTACGTAATCGGGAAATTAAACGGGATTAATTTCTTCAATCTATTTGAGACATCAGATTTACCGTTACGTTGACCGTTAATTGAGAATCACAAGGCTGAAATACATCCGTCTTTTTTTTTACGTTTCTTCTTTCAACTCTCAAAAGTATTTAAATCGTCACTCGAGCTAACTTTTCGGAATTGATTTTTAGCGAAAATGTTTGCGAGGGTAACGTTTTATCCAACCTTACTTTATAACGTCGTCATGGAAAAGATTACGACCCGGAACTGGTACGATAGGATAGACGAGACTGTTGTACTGGGCGCCTTACCGTTTCGACGAATGACCAAGCAGGTATGTTTTTTACGACAGAAATTAAGGATATGTATATTTCAAATCAGCAATGTTACTTTGATCACAATAATAGCTTGCATTTATGCCTTCACGGCTTTTTATTTGATCATCTCATTTTTAAATAAATGTCGGATAAGAACGCCATAAAAGACGTTATTATAATTTATATTTATATTATAATATATATTATATTACAATATATATATTTAGTGTATTTTGATCCATAACATGTGCCTCTTCTTCTGTGTAATAATACATTAAGAGTATGTCTCAGATTTTAAACTTATCAATCATTTGAACAAATAAATCTCATGCAACAGCTGCTAAATTATAAGCATTTAAATGACGTTATGACATATAATTTACATCTTACATCTTTGTTCTTTTCTTTTTCAGTTAATCGACGATGAAAATATCAAGGCTGTCGTGTCCATGAATGAGGATTACGAGTTGTCTTTGTTATCCAACACAGATAAGGTGCGCGACAATAAGACTTGAATCTTGAGAATAAACCATAGTATGATGAGAACTAGTGTAAAATAAACTTATACATGACTTAGAGCAACAATACTCTTTCTTCATTCAGGAATGGCGCAGGTACAATGTAGAATTTCTGCAATTGTCTACAACGGACATCTTTCAAGCACCTTCTCAAGAGAAACTGGAGGAAGGTGTAAACTTTATTAATAAATTCCGCAACGTATCAAATGAAAAATTTAGTCATACAGGTATCGTCGATGGTCGCGACCAATCTGGCACGGTTTACGTTCATTGTAAAGCAGGAAGAACCAGAAGCGCGACATTGGTCGCATGCTATCTAATAACAGTGAGATCACATGACATAATTTAAACGTAAAATTGAAGAAATTTTGACATCATTAGCAGTGAAATGTTCTTGTCGTTGTTTCTAGAAAAACAATTGGACGCCTGAAGAAGCGGTTGATTACATGCGAACGAAGAGGCCACATATATTGCTCCATACAGCTCAATGGTCCGCGCTAAAGCAATTTTACACGAGACATTTACGACCTACATCTTAGCTGAAATTTTTTGTGAATTATTTCGTTGATGTTTATACGAATGGGAAATAATATAAATAGGTAAATAAAGGCTGATTTATTTAGGTACTACGTTAAATTACAAATATGTCAATTCGAATAGAAAGAGGATGAAGAGATAAAATACGAAATAAGTCATTTACAGAGTCTTGTTATTAGCGAGCTCAACTTTCTTTACATGAGTGGACGCAAACTTGGTAGCCTCTGTAATTGCTTTTTCCATACGTATCTGAAAATCCTGTGATATTTTTGTAGATTTCATATTTGCGACTAACATGGGTTTGAATCCCTTGATAGGTCCGTGCTCTGCATTAAAGATTTGAAGTACAATATCCATCCAAGTTTGTGCGTTAAATGCACTAGAGGTCATTTCCTATATACGGTTAATAATAAACGTTTATGTTATTTACTACATTATATTTACTACATTTAAACATTAAATTATTTACTCTTTGTAACATAAATTATATATTGTTATATGATTTCTATTGAAATCTACATTTATAAAATATATGAATAAAATATACCTGTGGCATGGAACATCTTGCCTTTACAAATCCATTCGTACAAGAGAAAATTAATATTGGCATCCCAGAGAAGAGCGATACAACTTCATGCAATGATAAATATGTGGGATTCTTATTCAGGCAGTGCACGATAAAACAAGATGACAAATCCGTGGCGTTAGTGATTTCACGAGTTATAGAATCTCTATAAAACATCCATTATTAAGGATTATTCAGAGTTAAACAGATTACTCATATATATGATATGCACATATATTACGTACTTTTCTATTTCTTTCTCTCGCAGCCATATCGTCTTGCTCAAATTCTCCAGATCCGTCAAACATTTCTCTTTAATCAAGTAAGGTAATGGTACTTGTACGTGCTGATCATTAATCTCTTGTTTTATTCGATTTATTTCTGCATTAAGTATCTCATATGTGAGCTTGCCACTTTGTAAAACGTTTTTTAGTTCGGCGATTCTCTGACACATTCTCTCACCGGCTTGTCTCATATGTAAAGCTCCTGGACCAACAACAGCCTTAACAGTGCGTTTTGTTACTCCCTTTGAGGTATATGTTGAAAAACAAAAGTGTTGTAGTACACCTGTATTATGAACATGTGTACCGCAGCACGGTTCCCTAAATGTGCACAATTGATATTAGCGTCAAATCTAGCTCAAAGAATTTGTTGATGTTTAAAATTCGGACTCACTAACTTCGCTTTCAAGTCGTCAGTATTGATTTCTATGATTCTAATGTCTGTGTAAGGATATATCTCTCCTGGAACCAATGTAACATTTTGTTTTAACAGTTCGAGCGAATTCACAGTTTGCACAGTCGTTGCAGTATGAGATTGTATGACATTGTTAATACAATCTTCTATTGTCCTCATTTGTCCTGATGTAAGTTGTTCGCCAAACGAGTTGAACTGAAATTTTAAACTATCCGTATCGACTGTACATCCACGTTGATAAATTACTTGCATAACTTGCTTTAAAGCTGCATTTAATAAATGTGCTGCTGTATGATGTTTCATTGCTCCAACACGAATATTCGGTTCTATGTTGACTAAGCAATCATCTTCTATTTGTAAATATAACTCTGATGCGCTGAAAAACAGATTTGTGTATTGTATAATTTTTTGTAATCAAGTTAGAATATATAAATTGAAATAAGTTTTATAATGATCTAAAAATATATCTAAATATAAGAGACACTTACGGTAAATCTGTTTTGGCGAAATGTCCAGAATGAATCACATAGCCGTTTACTTTCCTGACATTATATACATTAAAAAGTCGATTTTTAATACGAATGTTTCCTTTATCTGAAACTTGGCCACCTTCTAATGAATAACATACAGTTTTGTCCAATATAATTCCAATCTCGTCTGTGCTATTTACTAGCTCATTGATGGGTATTTTATCGTCAGCATTATTTCCTCTTGTAATATTGGAATAATTTTTACTCGCAACTAATTCTCCTACGATATGTGAAATAGATATTTAATTTTAGAGTTTACATTGTACAGTTTAATTGGAAAAATATATATGTGGTTTGCTTTGACATTACCATTGAGAATAATGCCAATGAGTTTACTGTTAAGCGCTGGAAATTCATAGGTATTCCCGTCATATATATAATTGTACTTGAATGAATCATCCGTCTTAGGTACGTGATTTTTCTCAAGTATTCCCAAAGACTCTTTAGTAATTACAGTACTATGTTTGTCTAATCCAATTCTTGATTGATATCTACGATTATTAAGCTGCTCCTCAAAATCATTTTCATCAAAGTATAAAGATTCAATCTGCGCTAGTTGCGCTATAGTTTCCAAATTAAGACCGTATGTATCGTACAGCTTAAATGCAACACTTCCAGGCAACACGTTAGTTTTACGTCTGTAAATAATAATATGGATCATTATATATGCATTATATTAATATATTATGCTATGTAAAAGAAATTAAAAGAGTACAATTAAAAGAAATATCTTACAATTCTTTCAACATGGATTGTAGATCTTTATAGCCATCAACTAGACCAGGAGCCATCCAATCGGTAATTGCTGTTAATTCAGGACGAGTTTCAATCATCTTACTCCACATTTTACCAGAAGTATTCCGTAATCTCTTGAACAAATCTTCTTCAAAATCTATTATCCTTTGTATCTGATAAATTGCATCCAGTAACATTGAGATTATTTAAAATGTGTCAACAAGAGAGCTTAACAGCTTTCATCATTTCAATATGTATCCTAATAATTTTAATTCTAATTATTTTACCTGTTTCAGATTAGTATGCAATTCTGGATAAGCTACACCCAGGTTATCAGCTACATTGCAGGCAAGTTCTGAAATAATGCCAGATTTTCTGAAGACTTTCTCCCCTACGTCTATCGCATTCCGCAATACTCTCCGCAACTTTGGACTGAAATTATATACAAATACTATAATATATTTGACGATAACATATACATATTCGTCTAATATATACATATTAGATATAATAAAATCATACTGTTGTTCAGGTAACATATTATCAGCCAATGCAACAGTAATCATTCTTGCGTGATCAGCTAGAATTCTGTAACCGTAGTCAATTTTGCCTGTATCATCATCACCAAACGTTCCTTTATATTCTGGCGCATTCGAGCGCTTTCGTATTTCATTGAACAACGGCTGGAAGAGGTCTGTATCATAATTTGATGTTTTCCCTTGCAGTAAGGTAACTAATCGTTCAAGTCCCATGCCTGTATCAACATGATGGTTTGGTAAAGGTACTATACATCCATTCGCAAGCCTAACATAAAATATTATGATATTGAATAGACTATGCAATTTCACATTAACTGATAAAATTAGCAAACTATAATATTAAGTAGAAAAAAATTTCAAACAATATCTAGATTCTCAGTACACAAGATAAAAAAAATATACATATATATATATATGTATATTTATATGTATATATATATATATATAATCGAAAGCATGCTGCATAGTATGATTGAAAAGATTTAAAATACTTAGGCCCAGTTTTACAAGTGTCGGTTAACTTTTAATCTTAGATTAACTCACTCTTTGTCTCCTTCTAACGTCCCCCTTAGAAAGAGACAAAGAGTGAGTTGATCTAAGATTAAAAGTTAACCGACAGTTGTGAACCTGGGCCTTAAAGCCAAGAATTAATAGTTCACCTTTCATATTGGATAAAAACTATATTCCATAACTCCATAAGATCGGCAAATCCCTTATTCACTCGTTCGGCTTGATTAGTTGATCGTTTCATATAGTCAACGTGTATCTCTGTACAAGGTCCACAAGGGCCTGACACCCCCATTTCCCAGAAGTTGTCTCGCATACCGAAAGGTAAAACTTTACACTCTGGTAGACCAAGTCGCAACCAAATATCCTTACACTCCAGATCTGGACTCATGCCTAGTTCCTCGTTACCACCAAAATATGTTACATACAAACATTCTTTGGGTATGCCATATATGTTCGTTAACAAATTCCAGGCATATGAGCAAGCATCTTCCTGAAGGTGATAAGATTACATAAATAAGTACTGCAAGTGGAGGCAAACAAGTGAATATAACATTGTTTTTTGTATTGCACCTTGAAATAATTTCCGAAGGACCAGTTGCCAAGCATTTCGAAGAAGGTATGGTGATAGCTATCGTTGCCAACGACACTTAGATCGTTGTGCTTGCCACCGACTCTGATACACTTCTGTGAATTCGCGACCTTCGTCACAGGAGGTTCGTAATAATTTAAGAAAATCCCTTTAAACTGAAAAGTAAACATAGACGTGTACATATACATCAGCGGGCTTATTACCAGAAGCAAATTTTTCAAGATCGAGCATACTTGATTCATGCCAGCATTAATAAACGCCAGGGACTGATCGGTGATCGGAGAGACTGGGCTGGAACGAATAAAGCTGTGCTTTAAATCCTTCGTGAAGTAATCGAGAAATTCGTTTCTGATCAGGTTAGCCGGTTTGTTGTTCGTCAACTGGCTGTACGGGCGAATCAACCTAAACGAGATCATCCTTCTTGTTGTGGGATTCATCATCGCCTATAAATAATGAACAATCCAAAAGTCAGCTTTCGAAAAGCGATGTGGAGGTCCACGTGCGTGCATCAGGAATCATCGCTGATCATCGCGTCGCACAGTCGACTCAAGTCGAGCATGGTTAGGATGGCTCTCGCGTAGAGCATACAGTTATACAGTAAGACCCTGCGCACAATAGAGCACATATTAGGAACAATTAGGAATAAGAATAAATATTAAATATTAGGATATATAAATATTTTTGTAATAAATTTTAAATATTAGGATATGTAAACGTAGGACTATTCCTATATTTATACCTTATATTTTATTCTTTTCCAATGTGCGTCACGTTTAATTATTATTTTTATAATTCCGATTCTTAATATTTTATATTTATTTTTATTCTTAATACGTGCTCTATTGTGCACAGGGCCTAACCATTATTGAGTGCTTTCCAGTAACACACTTTTGTACAAATAACACAGGCAACTGTATTACAGTCACAGACTATATTGATGTATACATTCATCAAATATATTGTATCATATGTTGTTTCGAGTCGTTATCAAAAACTCAATGTAAAAAATTTCTCTCATTTATTCTTAAATAAAATTATTTTATTAGGAAATACACAATATTATATGTACATAACGTCCTAAATAACATTGATATACGTATAGATTATGAGATTACGTTCGTATGATTTTTGTTTAAGATACACGTCTTTTTTTTATAGTACATAGAATAATTAATCTACCTTCATATTATACATGAAACATTATACACTTTAGTTACACGGAATTCTTTTCTAAACAATCTTCTTTCTATTATACATTCTTGATGCATACATCGTTGCCAGTATGCGTCAGTCTTTACGTAAATTGCGTCGCATTATTCCGAGCCTCCTATCTCAAATCAATTCAGAATCGAGAAATTAAAGTAAATTTATCGATCTACGCAGTACATATCGGGTCTTAGATTTAATCCTCGATCTCCAGAAGATCGCCACCCATAGCTTTCCAAAAAGCGGTGACTACTTGCTCCGCCACTAAGCGCCTTTCATTCGTCGGCAAGGACGCCGCGTGCTCCTTCATGGCCATTAATTGGCCGTACAGCTCTCCGAAGTCCGCATTTTCGTCGCCCATTATGCCGTCTGTAAATTTAAGATCCGATGAAATAAGCCACGGGCGCTTCATAGACTCACTTTCGTCCATACTATTCGTACTGACCGAGCATGTCTTGCATGCGTAGCGTTTCCGAAGGGTCGCGCGTTAACCGAATATTCTCAAATTGTTCCTCAATCTTGTTCACTTCCAGCGCTTGCCCCATACACGACTTGTCTACAACGAAACGCAATTTAATCCACATTTACGTGGAAAGAGTTGTATACTTGGGTTTCCGTTTTAATAGCAGCAATTTCCGATCGGCTACCTTTAAGCACGATATTGGGCCACATGTGAGCATGCAGAGCTTCGATGATCCTCTCGATGCCATATTTATTGCCCTCCGCATCGCATTCCGAATCTCCCGTTTGCTCCAACTCGACCAGCTCAAACTTGTTGCGCACGCACCAATTTAACACTAAAAACATACAAGAGACATCAACTTGGTGCACAATATGGGAATAAACGTACTCGTACATTAAACGTCAACGTTCTCCATCGCCCCAGTACCTTTATCTCGCAGAAACGAGTCGGATATCGCGCCGCAGGAAAACAACAGCACCTCTGCTGCTGTCAAAGAAGTGGCCAAGGACGCCAATTGCTCCAGCTCCTCGTCCACCTTATCCTATGGAATATCAATTGGCGTCAACACACGTCGATTTAATTGCTAAACTCCCATTATGTCTCTTACTGCCTGCGCGTCGTGGTACACGATTAACGCGTCGACCTCTTCCGCTGACAGTTTGTGGGATAAGTTTTCTACGGCGCGTACCAAGACCTGTGATGTGTAATACTTGTTGTCAATGTTCCACATGTAGTCCACAATCTTGTCTTCCTCGGACAGACGTTCCGCCCCGATGCCTGCGTTAGAAACACACGTGAAATACAATTACACGGAACAGCATAAATAATTATTTATGAAGAGAATTATGACAGTATACCCTTGTACTCACTTTCTGCGATTTCCTTAGCCTTCCCCTCCTTCGTGCTAACAATCAGTACTCGAGGTAGATTCATTATAGAAGAAGATCGGAGTACGTGCTGAAGAATAATCGATAATATAATATCCGATCGAACTGCGATTGATAGGTGTAAATAATGATCTCACCTACAGCTAGTTAGAGGTTAGGTTAAATCCCGTAGATACGGTGAATTGTGAATTACGATGCGCCAAGTAAGCAGCAGTTGCCAGTTGCGCATTTCAGATATATAATGTTAAAATTTAAAATTAATTAGAATAATAATTGTGCTTATAATAAAAATTAATTTTATTAATTATAAATTTTTATCTTTAATTAATTGTTTTGATATTGTAAATAATTTTAGTTGTATTATTATATTAAAACTTTTCTTTTGATTCGTTTTTTAAGATAGAAAACTTGGAAAGTGTTTGGTTGGAATTATTTTTGTTCAGAGACGTAACCAAAACCAAAAAATGCTACGAAAAACTAAAAGTTGCAGAAAGGAGATGTATAGATGAAATAAATGAGAATAAGCCTACATTTTTTAAATATGTATAATACGTATATGTATACATTCCATTTTCCTTTACATGTAGAAGAATTAAACGAAGTGGAACAGAGTATACTCCAAGAACCATTGTCCAAAAGTCATTTTAATTCACCGTTTCTCGCATTTTTTTTTCTTTGATATAAAAGTTTCCATTGTCAGCTCTATATAATTATTAATTATTAATTAGATAAAATTTACGTATTTTTTAGGTAAAAGAACTTTCTAAAATAGGAGGAACTATAAAATACTCCATACGAGTCCATACGATTTCATAAAACGTTTGTCGTTTGTCACATTCTCCTTTCAAATAAATTTGCTGAACAATATTACAACCTGGTATGAAAAAAGCAAGTATTTGGAAAACTAGCTTTAGCAAATATTTCCAGCGTACTTTAGAAAATATAACACTACTATATTAAGCTCTATGCTTTCTTTTTATACTTTATATGTTTACAATTACTGCGATAATATAATGATAGCTCTTTAAGAATATTTGGTGAAAAAAAGAGAAATATATATAGAGAAATAATTTTTAGGACACATGTACGATTAAGAATGGTGATTTCCTGGGATGGTTCTTATCAATGGCCAGCGCGTATGACAAAAAGGAGGATTCTTTTGTGGAACAGCCCATACAGCACAGATTGTTGCAGAAAGCTTCCAGGTTTGAAACCTTTCTGGAAGCTTTCTGCAAGGTTTGAAACCTTTCTGGAAGCTTTCTGCAACAATCTGTGCTGTATGGGAGTTTAATAATTATGCCATTGAATAAAAATATAAATAAAAAGATAAAGGTATATCGCTCGCTGTATATTTAAATTATCTTTATTTTACTGAAAATTTATTTGGTCATTTATATTTATTGATCGTTGATCAAATCCATCTTTATTTTACTAAAGTTTTATTGGTCATTTTTTACTGACTGAAATTACAGGACTGCGACAACATCGCGGATGCAATGAGATTATAGACGATATTTAAAGTTTATTAAGGCAATAAGGAGAAAGAAAGTAAAACATCGGACATCACGTTGCCGGGCATGGAAGATTTTACTAACAATTAACTGTTCTTTATTTTATTCTTTGCCAATGTGAGTGTTACAGGCATTTAGAAAACTATAAATCAAAATTATAGAAGATAATAATTAATGATATTTTTGCACTTCAATTATATTAAAATAAAAACGTTACAGTTACAGTTATGATGAGAAATGATTGCCAATCAATTAATGGAACTCGCCAAGAGAGATGAGCATAGCATCGGGCGACTGAGAATAATTCTATAATTATTATAGGCTCCGTGTCAAATTCAGATAACTTTGCTAAAGCAATTGCCCGATTGAGTAGTCTGATGAATCTCGAAACGAAATGCAATATTTGGAAGTGATCTAAAATCTTGCAAAGAATCTTTTTCATGCAATGTCTCAGTAATTATGATAAATAAAATAATGCACATGTCTATAATAATATTATATCCGACCAATTTGCTTGTGATTATATTCGATTCATTGAGAATAAAAATTACTTAACAGCAGATATTAAGGGTGCGAAGCAAAATCCGATAAATATTTAGAATAAGTTTTTAATAATATCCATTGTGTTAAATTTAATCGTCTAAAATGTGATTAGAAACGGAATACATATTTTGGATATCATATTGGTTTTCGAAAATTAACTTTACCCTTTCTGCTTTTCACGTACATTATTATATTTCGGTCATTTATCATTTTAATAAGTTTATTATGTTTATTTCATTTAGTTTGTTAAATATTTAATTAAGCACGTGCGTCAGAGCGTCAATTGGATACAAAAATCACTCGTAATAACATGAACCGGAATTGGAATTAAATTATATATTTATAATTTAAACTACCATGATCGTTTATTACGTATTTCTTTTTTAATCTAAGTTTCTTTTAATAAATCATTATAGAAGAGTTTTTTGGAAATGTAAATGAAAATTTATATTTACAAAATAATAGGTATTTTATTTGATATTTAGAGAAAAAAAATTTTAACTTTTACTCCGTTTACGATACATCTTTTGAAAGCGTGATTAATAAACGTGAAAGAAATTCTAGAGCATTATAATAATTTTAATGCGCAACACATAATTCTGCAATCAATTTATCTTCACAGTTTTGCAATTTATTTAAATTGCATTATGTGAATAGATATGATAATCATGAAATGACGGACGTCCTGAAAACGATAATTTGTTGTAAGTACGTCGATTAATTAAATAGATACACGAGATCCCGTTGACCATGATAAAAATTATGCTTTTAATTAAATTTATCTAATATAGGTAAGCGATAAATATATATAAATTTCTGGAATTACAATGTTACTGGGCGAGGTGATAAATATCCTTTTTTTAGAAAAGCGTATTAAAATAAGGTAAATATCATTGTGACAAACTTTCTTATATAATACGTAAAATTGCCTGTAATACCTATAAATAAAGTAAACAACTCTTAAACATTTATTTCATATTCAATTCAATTGCTATTTTTATTTATCATTAATCCTTATTTAGCATTTCCAAATTTTCGAAAATGGATATTAATATCAAAAAGATCTACTATTCGTCGTGCATTACCTTCTAAGTTGTTAAACTTGGGCGAGAAAAAAAAAGAATTTGTGAAAATTAATATTCCTTGAGTTTGAGATTACAGCATTATCCGTTATCGCATATCTGTTATCGTATATAGGCACCGTTTCATATTATACATAGATCAGGAGGACAAAAGATGATGAGCCTCCGGCCTTCGACTCTATCAATTCGATATGATTGCGTTGCAGGATCCTTCCGCAGTATAAATAAAAGAGCTATGCAACAAATAATCATATTCTACGGCGAAGAACGTAAGAATACATTTACCACATAATAGCGCAACTAAAATTTATATCAGCCTCAGATTGTTGTGCAACAATGAGGAGGTTAATCCTTCTGTAAGTAACAATTATAATAATTATTTTTTAAATACAATGTCAATCATAAGCGAATCGGCGATCACTAATTTTGATTTTTAGAAAACTAATAATCTATCTTAATTGAATAGTCAGGAAAGCCTAATTTATATTTATATAGATGTGTTTTTCTCGTTTCGAATTCTAGATTCACTCCCTGAAACAAGTACTGGTATTAATTAAGAATTATTCTTTATACATTAGATTTATTTTTTTTTTTTTTTTTTTTTCATATATCGTTATTTATCATTTCTTACATAATACCATTATACTTATTTGATTTTAAATTGCATTTTGTAGCGCCTTCATTGGCGTGCTTCTAGTGAAAAACGGCACACCGTCGAAAAACCAGAAATATCCTTCACATCTGGAATGGTTGTTTGGTTTAAACAATAAACAAGATGAAAGTAAGAAAGAAAGTAAGGAAGAAAATAAGGAAGTAAATAACTCGACTGTATGCGAATCTCAGGAGTGCAAAAAAATAGGTATTTATAAAACAGCAACGGATATAGTTGTAATTATAATTTAATTTACAGTTAGTCTGATAATTTAAATCTTTATAATTATCCATTGTCTTTATTCTTGCTTTTATTTTTTTCCAGCTCGGATAATAACGGAAAGCATGGACAAAACTGTGGATCCGTGCGATGATTTTTATGAATACGCATGTGGAAACTGGCCGAAGCATAATCCCCTTCCGGAGGGGATGGAAACCTGGAGTATGTTCGAAAATGCGCAAATGAATGTCATAAAACAAATAATGGGTAAACGCCAAATCAGCTCAAACTGTAATTCGAAACTTGTGTGTAATGATATTAAAGATTGAATGATATTTTGCAGAAATTTTTGACGAGGGTCCCAAGAAGAGCGATCCTCTGGCGGTGAAGCTCGCGAAGAAGTGGTACGCGGTATGCACGGATACAGGTAAGCGCGAATGACTCTCAAATGAATTGAAAGCGTTCAAAAATTTGAATGTTTATTATTTTTATACATAATCGTGTTCCACGATATAATCGCTGATTCACGAAATGGTTCTAGATACAATGGAGAAGTATGGGCTCGAGCCGCTTGTCTTTACCATGTCGCGAATAGGCGGCTGGCCGTTGATAATGGAACCGGACGAGTGGAACGAGCAGGAATACAGTTGGCAAAAAGTAGATGATCAATACGTGCGCTTAACGGGAAGAAATGCTTTTCACGACGTGCGCGTGATCGATTATGGTTGGAACGATACTCGGAAAATAGTACATGTACTTATCAGAAGTTTTTGAATAAGATTATCATTATGTATGTATGGTATTAACATTACGCAATCAAATCCGAATCCAAAAGCGATGTAATTAGCGTCTTTATAACGTTATTATACAGCATTCACATATATTACACGTATCATCGAGCACTCATTTTGCGTTGCTCTTTGCATTACACGTGGATGTAAATTTATATTCAGAACATTTGTCTTAATTTTTCATTGATCTTTTTTAATGTTCTTGTTGCTAGATCAATATCCCGCATATGCCTCCGGGTTCATATAGAGTCTGGGGTGAAATCGACGATAGCGAAGAAGATGAAAGCGATGAGGATCCTAGTGACGAGGAGAAGCAAAGCGACGAGCAGAAAGATAGTCAAGAACCTGGAAGCGAAAACAAAGACGATAACGAAACCGGTACTAATATTAACTGTAGGAAATTTAGGGCCGTAGGGCCAATATTGATAGGAGATCGGGAAAATCAACGTAGTAGTAGATCAGTCATGGGGTAGCAGCCTAAGTGCTAGGCGTATGAACGAAGGATCCCGAGTTTCGAGTACCGGTCGGCTCCGTTAATTTTTTTCCGTCTCTTTCAGATCCCAGTGACGAGGAGAAGCAAAGCGACGAGCAGAAAGGTAGTCAAGAACCTGGAAGCGAAGACAAAGATGATAACAAAACCGGCACTAATAGTAACGATGACAATGAAAGTGATAATGACGACGACGATGAAGACGATAATAACAATGATGACGATGAAAATGACGATAAAGATGACGACGAAGAAGACGATGAAGATGATGATAACGATACAAACGAACAGAATGACGATGATAACGAGAAGAAAAAAGTCGGCATGAAAAAGACTGGCAAGTCCGTAAAAAAAATAAAAAATAAAAAATTGGGACATAGTAAACGGATGAAGAGTAGTACTCACTCCAAGAAGTACAAAAACCATAAGATAAAGAAAGAGAGGGTAAAGAGACGAGCAATATCGACACATGTTCACGAGAAATTACACGTGCGGAAGAACAAAAGAAATCGCGTGAAGCATCAAGAACGTATGGAGAGACTAAAGAAAACTTTAGAGGCGACAACACCGCAGATCAGCACAGAAGTAACGATTGGTGAAGTTGATGAGCTGAAGAAATACGCTAATTACATCTCGAAAGTAGCTCGCGCCATAGCGAAAGTAAAAGGTGTCGAAGTCTCGGAGGAACATATGAATAAAGATATTCAAGATATGATCGAATTTAACATGAAACTAGCTAAGGTGAGTGTTATACATTACTTCGTAGGCAACAGAAAAAAGAAGACTGTATAATAGCCCGAATAATAATATATTTCAGATTACTACAGATCTCAGCAAGGATAAGAAGATGACGCTCAAAGATTTTCAAGCATGGTATGATGAAAAGAAACCTGCAACTCCCAACAGCGCAGTAAGTCGTTTTTTAATTGATTAATTTAATCTGTTATTGTCTCTGACTAATTAAGCATGATTGACGCCACATAGATTAACTGGGTGTACAAAATTGGAGAATTATTTGATGAGGCCCACGTGTCTATAGATAGCGATTTAGATTTAAAAATTAATTCACCAAATTACTTCGATGGTCTTGTCGCTTTGCTGGATGAGACGTCGAGTCGAACAATCGGTAAATTTTGATAGAAGTGCGATAATAAGGAAATGTCGTCGATAGACACGCTCACGCGAGATATGTTTCAGTGAATTATATACATTGGAATTTCTTGAGCAGAATAATAAAAACTACCACAAGTGAAATGAGAAAATTATACAATGCATGGGAAGGAAAAGAGGAGAATGATGATGAAGAGATAAATGGATTTCCAGCAAGGTATATGATGCCAAGCTCTTTTATCGAAAATAGTTTCTCACATAATTATCAGCGTAACCATTCGCTCTTCACCTCGCTAGAAATATAATTATTTTTTATTACATTCTATTTTTACCCTAACAAACACCAAAACTAACGTTTACATACTCTTCATCTGTTTACTATGTCCTAATTTTTTATTTTTTGCGAACTCGCCAGTCTTTTTCATGTTTTTTTCTTCTCGTTATTGTCGTGATTCTGTTTGCGTTAGTTGGTGTTTGCTGGGTACATTCTTATTCTTAATATTAGTCTTGACGTGTGAATTAAAATTGAGTTGGTTCTAAATTATACCGATGTCAAACTGATCATGAATTGTTACCACAGATCGGCCCAATGTGCACGGGAAATGGAGATGAGCGACATTCTAGCGTACGAATATGTGAGAAAGCATTTCTCTGATGAAATCATGGCAACCGTAAGCGTACTTTGTGTTGAATTATAATTATTATAACAGTCTTCTGACCATCTTTGTTCGATTGGATCACTTATTCCTATTGCAGGCATCGGACATGATAGACGATATACAAAAGGAAGTAGAGTATCAGATTAAAGAATCAGATTGGGTTGATGAGGATACTAGGGATTTTGTTTTAGCGAAATTAGTGAATATGAACAACTTTATCGGATATCCAGATTGGTATAGGAATAACACTATCGTTAAACGATATTTTCAAGGAGTAAGTTTCTTAAAATTCATTAATTGCCACTCCCCATAGTGATTGTCTTATTTAATTATAATGTTCCGTTAAAGCTCGTTGTCGGAAATTCGCATTACGAGAATACTCTCAGCTATGACAGATACAGTAAGTGGAAAAGTCTACGAAGCTTATTGAAGACAGGTGAAGAGGAAGAGGAAGAGGAGTAAGATATTGCATTTGTATTTGTTCCGAAATAATTACAGCTTTATTTTTTCATTTGCAAAATAAATTCATATAATAAATTCCGTGTTACAGAATGATAAGCCCTGTAATGGTAAATGCATTTTTCTCCCCGGATGACAATTCTATAGGTTCGCCTTTTTTAGAAGAATTAAATCTAAACGAATTTACAACTATTCACGTTGTCATTGATATTAATCTCTTTTTCGATTATAGCCCTCTCGGCAGCGGATTTCCAGAGCCCATTATTCGCTTATGACCGACCACAGTAAGTGAATAATTTTGATTAAAAATATCAACGTGACTATTAGCGTAGCAATAAGCTTACATTATTACAAACAAGCTTACATTATTTCTAAAAAATTTATAATTTTTTATAAAATTTTTTCCAACTACGCTTTATTCCAGAGTTATTAATTATGGTATTATTGGATCAATCATGGGTCACGAAGTTAATCATGGATTCGATGATTCTGGTAACGTTATGAAATAATATGTATTTCTCGTTTACTTTATTAAATTATAGTATTTCATTGTTGATAATATAGTGACATCTATCATTTTACTCCAAAGTATATCTGAAAAATTCTTTGAAAATATTTCAAAAATATGATAAAAAGAACCAAAAAATAATTTTTAGGACACTTGTATGACAAGAACGGAGATTTTGTGGAATGGTTATCCGCAATGGCCGAAGCATATGGCAAAAGAGCAGAATGTTTTGTCGAACAATTTAATAATTATCCCGTTGACAAAGAATCGAATTTTAAAATAAAGGTACGTTATCTATTCTGATTTTTTTATTTTAATTTAAATTACCGTTATTTTTCTTGTCGTGCGTCTTGAAAATGTTTAATCGTACTTATATTGTCAAAAATTGCAGAATTATGGCAACAAGACGGCGGGAGAGAATATCGCGGATACAATGGGATTAGAGGCAGCGTTTAGAGCGTATCAAAGGAGAGAAAGAGAATGCGGAAAACCGGATACTGTGTTGCCGGGCCATGAAGACCTCACGACCGAACAACTTTTCTTCCTATCCTTTGCTAATGTAAGTATCACAGACCATGAATGCAGAGCTGCAATAATTGAAAATTGTGAGAATAATAATAATGATTAAAGTAAACGTTTGTGTTTTAATATATGTTTGAAATTACGATAATGCTTGCAGTTGTGGTGTGAAGCTGCGGCAACGAGCAGCGCCACTATAGGTGACGCTCAATCTGACGTGCATAGCACCGGACGGTTGAGAGTGATAGGAAGCCTTTCAAATTCACAAGACTTCGCCGAAGCTTACAATTGCCCGGTTGGCAGTGCAATGAATCCCGAAAAGAAATGCCATATTTGGAAATGATTAACTACAAATATTACAAATTAAGCTTGCCAATACTTGAGAAAAATGTAAAAATGATTGTAATTTTCTATCCATATATCGATGAATATATGTATGTAAAATAAGACATATATATATATATATATATATATATATATATATATATACACACACACATATATACATATAAAATAAAGCATGTCATGAAGAAATCGTTTAATTTTTTTCCTTCATAAGTTTAAAATTTTTATCGTAATCTCGTCTTGAGTAAAAAAAGCTTATATTTATGTATTCAGGTGTATCAGTGAAGGAATGACGCACGTATAATATATATATATATATATATATATATATATATATATATATATATATA